GTTAGCTGGGTCCCTATGATCACACGCACAAGATGTGTCTTGCCACAAGGCTACATTGTAGGGATACGATCACTAACGCGGCGATTCATATCCAAAAGGGGGTCAGAGTGGCACATGTTAACATCACTCACCGACACATCTCGGCAGCTGGTAGCCGGTGGATGGATACACCTGCCATCAGCAGGCCCGGGGCTGTAGGAACACCATGTCCCAACAGCAGGATCTGACACAGGCCGACCTCTCGCCTCCCGAAAGCACTGTGGACTTGGGGACCGTTCCTGGCGGAGGACAATGGTGTTTAAAGCAAACTCCAAAGAGTAAATATTTTAAGTTTCTTCCAAGAGTATTCTTCATTTCACACTATTTTACACACTCACACCAACAAGTTACATGCCACAGGAACACCTGCACAGCGTCAGTATTCACCTCCGTAATGGCCTTGATTCGGAAGATCAGGAAACAGCAACGTCGGGCTTTGTCGTAAGAAACCCCTTCGTTCACAGAGGGACACGGAGGTTGAGATGTCCTGGCCGAGGTCCCCGCTGGGTAAGTCACAGACCTGGCAACCCCAGGGTCCTGCCCAACTCCCTTTCTACTGTGTCCCTGCAACATAAAAGTCTGACGGGACACTTTTAGGAAAGAAAAACATTAAGGTACTAATAACACGGAAGTGCTCAAAACGGACTCATAGCAGCTCCAGTGCAGAGCATCTTGTGAAACGGGCCCGAGACACGGGCTCTTCCTGCAACAGGCTTCTGTGCCCAGATTCCGCCACCAGCGGTGCAGGGGCAGGACTGGGTGAGCTTCCACCACCACCACCACCAGCGGCACAGGGGCAGGACGGGGCAAGACGAGGTCACACTGTGAAGGGGGCCCGATGGGCTTATAAACCTGGCTTGTCAGACGGGCACCTGCAGCGCACGGTGCGGAGATTATTCCTCCCTGAACACCTCATTGCACTTAGAGAATCAGTGTTGCTACGGGAGATACATTTAAAAGAGAAAGATTTTATACTTTCTGGTTTGAGCGTTTTTTGTTTAATTGCCATGGGTAACATACGTAGTGTGATGGGCGGTGAGGGAAAACGGAGCACAGTGGGGCGACGAGCAGGCGGCCCTCACACTGAAGGCAGCCCCGGCTGGGCTGTGCTTGCTCAGGACCCGGGGGCACAGACTGCACAGAGTGGGGGGCACGGACTGCACCGAGTGGGGGCACGGACTGCACCGAGTGGGGGCACGGACTGCACGGAGTGGGGGGCACAGACTGCACCGAGTGGGGGGCACAGACTGCACCGAATGGGGGCACGGACTGCACAGAGTGGGGGGCACGGACTGCACCGAATGGGGGCACGGACTGCACAGAGTGGGGGCACAGACTGCACCAAGTGGGGGCACGGACTGCACAGAGTGGGGGCACGGACTGCACCAAGTGGGGGGCACGGACTGCACAGAGTGGGGGCACGGACTGCACCAAGTGGGGGCACGGACTGCACAGAGTGGGGGCACAAACTGCACCGAATGGGGGCACGGACTGCACCGAGTGGGGGCACGGACTGCACGGAGTGGGGGCATGGACTGCACGGAGTGGGGACGGAGCAGCAGGCGGCTCCGTGAGGTCCGAGTGGGTGGGTCCTGAGCATGCCCTTGACGTTTCCCCAGCAGTGACAAGGAAACAAAATCAGAGTCAATGCTGTTTAGACAATTTCTGTACATTTTAAATGTTCCAATTTGGGGTTTATATTGCTTCCTTGTTTATAAAATGTAGAGAATAAAACTGATTTGATGTCATTTTCCAAACCCCAACTGAAATGTGGTTCTGAAACCTAAATTTCCCTGGAGGACAGGGCCCCCTTCAGGAAGCGAGCTCTCCTCAAGTCTGCACGGAGGAGGGGACGCCGCCTCTCTTCCTGTGGTTAATGGAGGAGACGGTGCTCAACAAGGTCCTCCACTCCCGGCCACGACTGACTCCACAGCAACCAAAGGTGATGTTGAGAAAGGCTGCCAGTGTCCTGGGATAGGTCACAGGACTGCATCTGTGAATGTGCCCGAAGAAAACCAAAACATCCATGGGAGCAGACCATTTCACCTTTAAATAAAAATACTTTATTCATTCCTGACAGGTTATCAAAATGTACACTGTTCACCAAGTAAAAACGGTACTTCCAAATCACTGAGCAGGGCATACTTAGAGGACGTTTGGTTAATATGAAAAGCATAAAAGCCACTTCCAACCTCCCTTTCCATACATTCCCAACAAGCTTGCACTATACCTGCTAAAACTGAACGTATGAACACTTATGCGGGCCCCAGCTCATCACAGAATGCACATTTTCATTTACACTTCAAATAAGTGGAGATTATTATACTAGAATTACCTTCTTTTGCCAAAAACTTTCAGACTGACTTTTTGTGTTTTGTATGACTTTGTAAATTACATAAAGAAGACAGCACATGACTCGTATTCATCTAAACACACACATACACACACGGGATAAAGTGCAACACAACAGGACACGTCTGGACATCCCCGTGCTCGGCTCCCACGGGGGACTTTCTGAGTACGTGGCAACAATGTGTTCTCAGGGCGTGAACACACAACCCACAGGCTGGGTGATTTATGCCTCATAAGCATATGGACAACCCTGTTCGCTTGCTTTGCCTGTGGCTGGCTCTCGCTCTCTCTCTCTCTCTCTCTCTCTCTCTCTCTCTCTCTCTCTCTCTTGCTGAGGGTTTGGAAGCTGGGATTCTTTCTAAACCTCAGCGCGCCCTAAGCTGTGCTCTCTCGGGGCGCGAGTACTCTGAGCTCTCTACTGCGAGAGCTTTCCCAGGACAGCGCGCCGGGAACCAGCAGAAGCAGAGTCGGGGTGACAAGAGCAAGCATTCCACTCACTTGGCAGCAATTGCTTTAGAGACCTTTGACCCCAGCCACCATACATGTCTACAGGCAAGTACCAAACTAGACCTGAAATGACAGAAGTTTTGGTTGCATGTTTTTGTGATATTAAAATTATTTAAGAAATGCTTTTGTTCCTGAGATGAGCACAATAAAATGAAATGAGTTCCCTCTCCAATGGCCCAGGGGACACTCTGCTCCTTAGTCCCGCCCTCAGCGTTGTGGAAAAACCGTGTCTGTAGTGTCAGTCTTCCCCGTGGCGCCACTTCTGGGACTCGTCTTGCCGAACATCTGGTCTAATTTGGTTTCTCATGCCTCCTAGCACGTTCGATGTTGCCTCTGTGGCAACGATCAGCGGCTTCACCACAGCTGGAGGGATCTGGCGCAGGACTTCGCCCACCGCCCCGGTGACCCCCCGGCTCACGTGCTCTCGAGCTGCGGTCTCATAAATGGTGTGAGCCGTGTC